AAGCCCCCCCCCCCCCCCCCCCCCCCCGCCTGCAGCCTTCGGGCCTCGGGATTTCTTGGAGCGGTGGGCGGAGGCGCTGCGGGCCCACGGCCTGGTTGTGCAGGCCTGGCCCGACGCCGTCGGCGACCTGTCGCGGGTCGAGTTTGCCGTCACGTTTGACCCGCCGCCCGGCCTGCTGGCTCGCTGCCCCAACCTCAAGGCCATTCACAGCATGGTGAGTGTGTTGGTGGGTGTGCTGTCTGTGGGTGGTGCTGGTGGCGGGTGTGTAAGTGGCCTCGGATGGCTCCCAGTGGCGCCGCCACATTTGCTGCAGCCCATACGCCCGCCATGCTGCAGCCCGTGCGCGAGCCAAGCTGCAGCCCATACGCCCGCCTGCAAACCTCCCTTCCTCCCTCTGCCCGCCCGCCGCAGGGCGCGGGCGTGAGCCCCGGCATGCTGGGCGGCGACGTGTGCCCAGCCCACCTGCCGCTGCTGCGTGTGGTGGATCCGCTCATGGCGCAGCGCATGGCCACCTTTGTGCTGTGGGCTGTCATCAACTGCCAGCGCAAGTGGTCAGTGCTGGGTGGAGCTCGCCGGCATGGCTGGCATGGCCGGCATGGCAGCAGCTCTGCTAGCAGCAGCTCTGCTGGCAGCAGCTCTGCTCCTGCGCTCTGCGTTTGTAGCCTGTGCCGATGGCACTGCTGGCGGCGGCTGCCAGTCTGCGCCAGACATTGCAGGGCAGGGCTGTGCCTGGCTGGCGGGCTGGCGGCGGGTGCAGCCGCAGCAGTGCCGTGGGCCCGAGCTGGTGCACTTGACGCTCTTGCCAGCTGCCCAGCCTTCCTGCATCTGCACCCTCGCACCGCTGCCGCCGCCGCCACCGGAGAGCCCCAAACTACACCCGCATTGCCCCCTCGCTTCCCCTTCAGCGACGAATACCTGGCGGCGCAGCAGGCACAGAGCTGGGACCAGGGGAAAGCGGTGGAGAGCTACCGACAAGTAGGAAACAGCACCCGCTGCCATTTACCCCCAGTTCCCCCCGGTTACCGCCCAGGGCTGGGCCACGCTGCAGCCGGCGGCCAGATGGCAGCCGCAGCATATGGGCACAGTCATTCTATTCATTGGTTCTTTCCTGCAGGTGGACAATGGCGAGCTCCGAGTGGGGGTGATGGGGGCGGGCCACCTGGGTGCGCCGGCGCGCCGACCGCACGCCTCTCCTGCTCCCTGCCTCCCCGCCACCCCCCTCCTCACCCGCCAGCACCTGCTATAACACCCACCCGCTAACCGACCAACACACCACTCGCACCTGGTACATGGTATGTACGGTCGCCAGACCGACGCATGCCACCGCCACCCCTCCACCCCATGCCCGCAGGTTCTGCCGCCATAGACCTCCTCCTCAAGTGCGGCTATTCCGTCAACGCGTGGACTCGCACCCCCCGCGCCCTGCCCGGCGCCGCCTGCTTCCACGGCCGCCCCCAGCTGCACCGGTTTGCGGAGCGGTGCGACGTGGTGGTCTGCCTGGTGCCGCTCACGCCTGAGACAAGGTGGGTGGGCAGATGGCTGGCTGCCAGTGCGGGTGCCAGGGCGGGCGGATGGGTGGATGGCTGGGCGCCAATGGGTGGGTGGGGGCCCCGATGCGATGTAACGCGTGCGCGCACTCGCACACACACATACGGTATATGTACTGTGTGCGTGCTCTCACCCTCATCTCATCTCCCAACACATGCGCCCTTCCTCCCCGCCTCCTCCGCGTCCCGCAGCGGCATCCTCGACGCCGCCTTCTTCGCCTGCCTGCCGCGTGGCGCCATCCTGGTCAGCCTGTCGCGGGGCCAGCACCTGGTGGAGCCAGACCTGCTGGCGGCGCTGGACAGCGGGCACCTTGCGGGCGCGGTGCTGGACGTGTTTCGCCAGGCGAGTGCAAGGGGAGGGGTAGGGGCAGGTGGCGGAGGGTGGCATGGGCTGGGCGTGGTCCGCCAGGCGTGTGTTTATGTGTGTCTTCTCCTTGCCCGTGCATTTGCATTGTGCTCACCTGCACCTGCGGTGGCATATGCCCAGCCCCCTGCCTGCCCCGCTGCAGGAGCCGCTGCCGCCAGACTCCCCGCTGTGGCGTCACCCCAAGGTGCGGGTGTTCCCCCACGCCAGCTGCACCCCAGACATGCCACGCGCGGTGGCCCAGATGGTGCGGCTGCGGGAGCTGCTGCTGGCGGGAAAGCCGCTGCCGCCCGAGGTGGTGGTGGACCGGCAGCGGGGTTACTAGCCGGGCTTGCTGGCATGCTGCCGCCTGGGGGCTCTGCCCCGCTGGATGTAAGGGTTCTAGGGTGGGTTTTAGATTTTATCTAGATTTTAGAGGCGAGAGCATTTGTTTGGTGCAGCGATGGTTGTGAGCTCTGCTGATGAAGGCCCCCGGCGCCCTGTTGGCGGCGCCAGCAAGGCAGTCGGCGACAGCCTGGATCCTTGATGCATCATGATGTGCACCACAGGTCCTGCATCGGCTGGTCAGCATTCTCAAATCGCTTGCAGCCCATACCAATGGAGGAACATGCCCTGGGGCCGCCGGGGGCCAAGGTGCCGGTCGGGCGGGACGACCCAGACCGGCCACAGGTTCACTTGGCGCCTAAACAGGGCTGGCTCAACGATCCAAATGGCCCGATCTGGTACAAGGGCCGTTACCACTTGTGAGCGCGATGCTGGCGATCGCCTTGCCACAGCGGGCTCCAGCAGCCCTGTGAGATGCTCTCAGACGCATGTGGATGTCTCCACACGCTAAGGAGACTCCCGCCGCATTGCCCCGCTGCCTGGCGGAAGCTGGCGACGCCACCCGTCAGACTGCCGCCGACACCTCGAGCCGCCGCCGCCTCTCGCCCGCTGCACCTCGCGTTTGCTGCCTGCAGGTTTTACCAGCACGTGCCCCAGGGATGCGAGTGGCAGTGGGGCCTGGTGGGTGGGCCGGCATGATGCCGCTGCGGCAGGAGCTGGTAGCTGGGCTCGCACACCCGTGCCCATGCGACGCGCCTCTCTCGCACCCACCGGCTCCCCACTCGGCTGCTTTCATCCCAGCAGCTGGCTGGGAGGTCGTCTGCTGGGGAACCTGTGCTCTCTTTCAGCACCAGCTCGCTTGGAATGCACCCCCTAAGGCTCCATTTGATCTGCCCGGGCGTGCTGCGCAGGTGTGGGGCCATGCCGTCTCCACTGACCTTGCCCACTGGCGGCACCTGCCCCCAGCCCTCGCGCCCACCCCCGGCGGCCCAGACGCCGACGGCTGCTGGTCGGGCTGCTGCACCGGTGAGGTGGCAGGGAGAGCTGCGCTGGGCCCGCCTTTTCTGTCGCCGCCGCTGCCGGACGCGGCCGTGTTGCCCGCCTGCTGCCCGCCTCATATGTGGTTTTCAAGTATCCCCGGCCGCCTGCCGCCTGCAGTGAGCGCGGAGGGGGTGCCCACCATTCTGTACACCGGCGTGCGCCTGCGCTCCAACCGCGCCTGCGGCCCGCCGCCGCCGCCCAGCCAGGATCTGGGCCTGCTGTTTATCGAGAGCCAGCTGGCGGCCGTGCCAGCAGACCCAGGTGGGCGGTGTTTGTGGGGGTGGGTGGGGGACTAGCGGCAGGGCAGGGTTGGGGGGGGGGCGGCGGTGGGTGGGAGGACAGCCAGCTGGGTGCTTGGCAGCCGTGCCAGAAGACCCGAACGGTGTTGCCAGCCTGGGCGCCTGCTCCTGCTGGCTGGCTACCTGCCTCGAAGCAGCGCATGTGCGTGCGATCGATCGCGTGGGTGATGCACCCTCGGCTCGCTTTCCTCCCCGTTCAGAGGATGAGCTGCTGCTGAGGTGGCGCAAGGTGGAGCAGCCGGCGGTGGCGCTGCCGCCGCCCGGCCTGAACCTGATGGGGTTCCGAGACCCCTTTGTATACCTGGGAGGCAGCTCTGCGGCAGCTGCCGCTGGTACCGGGGAGCAGCAGGCGCCGCAGTCTGCTGCGCGGCACCAGGCGCTGCAGCACGGCTACCGCATGCTGCTGGGGAGCGGGGTCAGGGGCAGCGGCGGCGCGCTGCTGGCATATGGCAGCAGAGGAGGCACTGGCGGCAGCGCTGGTGATGGCAATGTTGGCAACGGCATCAGTAGCGCCACCAGCAGCAGCAGCAGCGATGACTGTGCTTGCGGGGATGGCAGCGACTGCAGCGGCAGCAGCCTGGCGAGGGGCTGGCGGTATGAGGGCCAGGTGTGCAGTGCTGCTGACCTGGCAGAAGCAGCGCAAGCATCTTCGGCCACAGAGGCAAGCGGTGCGCTGAGCGGCGCTGCCGCTGACGAACTGGGGGAGGTGTGGGAGTGCCCGCTGTTGGTGCGGCTGCCGACGCCCGGGGGTGGCGCGGGCGACGGCGGCGGAGGGAGCCGCCGGCAGCCCTGGCTGCTGGCGGTCTCTCCCTACCCAGTCAAGCCACCTCACTCCCCGAGCAACCCAGTGCTGTACTGGATCGGCGGCATGGATGAAGGCGCCACCAGGCACGCCCGCCAGCCGCAGCCAGCCTGGTGCAGCAGCTTTGGTTGTTTGTTGCCTGCTCCCTCGCCGGGCACCCATCCACATAGTGGAACCAAAGGAGGCAACGAACAAGGAGGCGAGCCGCCTTTCCCATCCAGGCTCTCAGATCCCCGCACCTGGCCCCCTTCCTGCTGCGGCCTCCCCCGCAGGTTTGATGTGAGGGGCGCCTGGGGACCATACCGGCTGGACCAAGGGGACTTGCTGTATGCACCCAACGTATGCTCAGACGCCCAGGTAGGCAGCCAGCCCCCTGCAACAGCCCGCCTGCTGGGCAGCCTGATCTTGCCGCGCTAAATGATCCAGCGGTACAAGCAGTACAACATGAAGAATGGCGCCTGGTGCAGCATGCGCTGATAGGCAGCCTGCAGGAGTGGCCCCGCCCCCGGCATCCATCCGCACAGCGCTGCTTTCAAGTCTTCTCTCAGTGCCAACCTGCCTGCCACTCCCCCGCCTGCCTGCCACCTTGCCTGCCCTGCAGGGCCGCCTGCTGCTCTGGGCCTGGCTGCAGGAGCGGCGGTCGCCGGGCGCCGCTGCCGCCTACGCCGGCTGCCTCACGCTGCCCCGCGTGCTGACCCTGTCGCCAGACGGCCGGCGCCTGGTGCAGCAGCCGGCGCCGGAGCTTGCGCTGCTGCGCCGCTGCTGCGGCACGGGCGGCGGTGGCGACCCCTTCACGGGCAGCACAGAAAATGGCGCCGCTCCCTGCGACGGCGTGCCGCCCTCTGGTGCCAGCTTCAGCGGCAGGGGCGGCTGGTATGCGGGCGGGGTGGAGTTGGCGGAGGGGCAGCTGCTGCCGATTGAAGGAGTGGCAGGGCGGAGGCTGGACATAGAGCTTACCCTCCGCAGGTGGGGCCCGAGCGGCTGCCTGCTGGCTGGGCTGCCCGCAATTTTCCGGCCGGGACTGGGGAGCCCAGCAGGCGTGCTGCTGTCAAGTGCTGCTGCTACTCCCCGCTGCCCAGCGCTTCTCTCCTGCAGGCTCTCCGGCGCATTATTGACTCCTCTCTTGCACTGCCTCCCGCAGGGGCAGCGGAGAGGCGGCGGGCCTGCTGATTCAGTCTCACGAGGCGGGCAGCCAGGGCAACGCCCTCATTACTTACGACTGGGGCAGGAATGCGCTGGACGTGGTGTTTGGGGTGCCGGCCCCACAGGCTGCCGTGCCAGCTGGCGCCAGCAGCCAGAGCGATGGCATGGAGAGCCAGCTGAGCGGCGCCCTGTCGGGAGTGGCGCGCTGGCACCTGCCGGCGCCCGCGGCAGCCAGCAGCCCCCGCAAGCGGGGCCGCGGCGCGGCGGCGGCGGTGTTTGAGGCGGCGGCGGCGCCCGGCAGCCCGGCCAAGGCGGCGGTGGCGGTACCGGCAGAGGTGGTACCGGAGCTGCACCTGGCGGAGCTGGCAGAGCCGCTGCCTGAGGCAGCTGCCGTGGAAGCTGCGGTGGCGGAGGAGGCGGCAGCCGCGGCGGCGGGCACGTTCAGGCGGCTGGGTGGCCCTCTGGCGGCGCCAGCCACCGACGGAAGCGGGCGGGCGCAGCTGAGGCTGAGGGCGGTGCTGGACGGCTCGGCTCTGGAGGTGTTTGCCGGAGGCGAGGTGGGTGGGCAGGACTCCACACGTGTGTGTGTGTGGTGGTGGTTGTGTGTGTGTGTGTGTGTGTGTGTGTGACACACGGCCAGCCCAAGGGCCAGGTCGCTGAGCACATCGATGTGCTGGCCTCTGCCGCTTGCCCAGCCACTGCATTGCATTGCTGCGCGGCGCGCAGCCTCCAGGCAGCATGGCACGCCTGCAGGCAGCTCGCTCTGGCCCTCAGGTCAGGGTGCGCCCAGCTGGCCGGCAGCCAGAATGTGTGTCGTTGTGCCGGGACCTCCTCCTGCTGCAGGTGCTGAGCACCCGAGTGTACCGCGGCGCCCCGCCGGCAGACGGCGGCAGCCCCGCAGGCGCTGCCTGCAGCGGCGTCTTCCTGGCGGCGCTGGGCGGCGCGGCTGTGCTGGAGAGCGGCGAGGCTTGGGAGCTGCGCAGCTGCTGGGCGGAGGATGAGCCTGAGGGTGGGGCGGCGGCCTGAGCGGCGAGGATGGGGGCAGCCGCGGCCCGAGCCTCGAGCATGCCGCTGCCGAGCTGCTGCTGTGCCCAACCCGCCTGCTTGCCTGCTTGCATGCTGATAACGATCTGGGCTGCCAGTGACGGTCAGGCGCTCGGTAACCGCAGGACCAGTCTTAATAGTGAGGGAAGAGAGGAGGTACAACACAGCAGGAAGGAGGGAGCTGCAACAGAGAGCGGGGCCCAGGGTGGGGGCGAGAGGGAGGGAAAGCCGATGGAAACAAGTGCTGGGAGTGTTGATCAGATCGGGGGCGCCAGCTCAGCGCCAACTCAGCGCCAGCTCGCCGCCCCAGGGGCGCTCCCCGGGCGGCGCCCGCCCAACCTTCACGTGTACAGGGAGCTGTCGTAGGCGGTGTAGCGCATGACGGTGGGCTGGGAGGCTGCTGTGGTGAGGGAGCTCCAGTACCCCACCCACGGCTTGTTGTGGGTGAGGTCAAAGTCGAGGGTGACGTAGGAGGAGCCGCCCTGCGAGAAGTAGCGGTTGGCCACGTACTCCCAGCTGTTGGTGCTGCGCTTGTAGCACTGCACGCTGACCTGCGCGCGGGACAGGGCACAGAGTGGGGGAGGCGGGGGGGGTGGCAAAGCCGCACGCGGCGCCCAGGCAGGCAGCCGAGCGCTGTCCAGCCCAGCCCAGCCTAGCACAGCACAGCCCAGCCTAGCACAGCACAGCCCATCACAGCGCAGCACAGCGCAGCACAGCGCAGCGCAGCCCAACCTTGTACTCGTCTCCGCCGTCGTTGAAGGCGACACAGGGCACGCCGCGGGCGTCGACCGCGATGTCGAGGGCCGTGATGAAGCCGTCGGGGGCGGGGCGGGCGGCCCCGATCTCAAACCACGTGTCCGAGGTGCGGTTGTGCTGGCGAACCATCATGAACCGGATCGTGGAGACCGGGTGGATGAGGTGGGCCAGGTACAGCGTGCCGTCCGGGGCAAAGGCCAGGTGCGGCAGCTGGCCGTTGGTGATGGCCTCCTCGCCGCCCACGCTCTCCCACTTGCCGCTGCCCTCCAGCTTCTCGACGTCGGCCGAGTTCTTTCCAAAGTCCATGTAGGCGAGGAAAGGCACGCCCGCCACGCCCGGCCCGCCCGTCGCGGGGCCCACCACCAGCTCCACCGAGTCGGCAAAGGCCTTGGAGATGGCGTCACCGTCGGAGCCGGCGTAGCCCCACGCGCCGCCCGAGAAGCGCATGACGGCGGCGCGGAACTGGCGCTTGGAGTTGGTGAAGGCGACCATGGGGCGGCCCTGCGGTGTGGTGGCCACGGGTGGGGTGGGGGGTGGGGGGGTGTAAGGGTGCGGTGCCATGGTTGACTGGTTGATCAAATAAAAGTTAAAAAACTTAGCTTGGGGCGAGCATCAGCAGGCATCAGCAGGCATCAGCAGACGGGCTGGCAGGGGGCGGGCAGCAGCAGCGCCAGCACGCGGGCGGCAGCAGGCAGCGGCGGCGACGGCACGCAGAGACGCGGCAGGGCGCGGGCAAGCGCCCCGCGGCTGCGCGCTCCAGCCTGACCCCGCAAGGGGGGGCACCGGGGTGGGGCGGCAGGCCTGCCCGATGGCGGAGCCCGCCTTCGTTTTCTGTGAGTTTCTTGTTCTTTTCTTGTGTGTACCGCCACCCTCACACGTGTGCACCCTCACCTGGCCATCCACCGCCACGCTCGTGTCGAACACAGACTGGTAGAAGCCGACGGGGCCCACGGGGCGCCAGCCGGCGGCGCCGAGCCGGAACACGGTGGACGCAAAGGCGCCGTCGGCGTCGGCCAGCGCGAACACGGGGGTGCCGTCGGCGAAGCAGGAGAGGCTCATGCGGGAGCCGTGGGCGTCCGTGAAGCCCTCGCTGCCCGCGTCCACCCAGCGACCGCCCACGAGTTTGACGACGGCGGTGCCGTGCTTGCCCGCCGCGTCCTCCGCCGTGTATGCGGCGTACGGTACGTCGCTGGTACCGCACAGGCTGAACTGGAAACTGCGGATAACAGAGCCGTTGGGAAGGAGGATGGGCGGCACGGGGCCCCAGCTGCGGGAGGGAAGGAGGGGAAGCGGAAGGGTGGGGGAGTGGGTGACGGCGGAAGGGGGCGGTAGGGGAGGCAGCCAGGAGCGAAGAGGAGCGTTGCGGCGGGGGGCAATGCAACGGGCGGGGAGGGGAGGCAGCGGCGGGGCCTGCGGCCGGCGCGGGGCGCACGTTGGGGGCGGCCGCGGCGGCGGCCGGGGCTTCGTGTTTGGCGGCGGCTTGGGCGGCGGCGGCGGCGGCGGCTTGGGCGGCGGTGAAGGCGGCTTGCGTTTGGGCGACGGCGGTGGCGGCGAAGGCGGCTTGCGCTTGGGCGGCGGCGGCGAAGGTGGCTTGCCCTTGGGCGGCGGCGACGGTGGCGGCTGTTTCTTGGGAGGCGGCGGGGACTTGGGAGGGCGGCGCACGGGCGGCGCCGGCTTCGGCGGCGCCGGTTTCGGCGGCCGTGGCTTAGGGGGCCGCGGCGAAGGAGGCGAGCGCCTGGGCGGCTTCGGCTTGGGTGGCGGCGGCTTCCTCTTCGGCGGGCGCGGCGAGGGCGGCTTGGGCCTCGGCGGCCGCGGCCGCGGCGGGCGCGGCAAGGGCGGCCGCGGGCGCGGCGGGCGCGGCGAGGGCGGCGGCGGCGGCGGCTGCAGGCTGCCGACCGGTACCAGCTCCCACACCGTGGCGTCTTCCGCAT